ATGGGCTGAGGGACCCCCCACTCCAGTGCATGAATTTTCATGCACTGGGCCTCTAGTATTAAATAAGATGATACATTTCAGTAACCCTAGATGGTGTCTAGAACTTAGTAAGTGATAAATTAACATGAGCTATGTTATTATTGTTAAGAATGAGTTACCTAACTCCTACAGCAATATTCTTACCTACTCTAGAGCAAGCAAGAGCATATTACAAGAGGGATATAGGTGAGAAATTAGTTTCCTGGCTAAAAATGATTGTGAGACACTGAATAGTGTTAGTCTTCTTGAGTTGTAAAAGCAAAAAAAAAATTTTAAGTACCTTTGGGAGAAGTGACTCAGATGTGCTCCTTAAAAGTTTTCAAAATTTCAGGTTGTACTCTAATGCTAAAATTCAGTATTTGTATCTTTTCCCCTCTGGCTTACATTTTTAATTAGTTTGTTTTGCAGCTAGCAAAAAATATATATCAATATATATTTTTGATAAATGACCTTTTTAACATACTATTTTTTCTCTAGTAATGATGCCTACTAATGCTACAGGATTCCTTTATTCTTTGTAATTAGAATAAGTTGTGATTTTATTTTTAAAATGTTTCTATTGATTCTTTAGAGAGAGGAAGGGAGAGGGAGTGAAAGATACATCTGTGTGAGAGAGAAACTTTAATCGGCTACCTCCTATATGTCCCCCTGTGGGGTGCATGGGATGATACTCAACCAACTGAGCCACACTGTCCAGGGCTAGAATAAGTTGAGCTTTTAAGTAAAAGCACTTTTTGAACAAAGTAAAAGCATACTGAGAATTAGAGCAATATGTTTTGAATATAGTTGGAGATGAAGCACCTGATGTTCTTATAAAACATAGGAAGTTGTTGAAAAAACAATTTTTTTTGTGGAATGTGGAGGGTTATCTAGATAAAGAATTCAAGCAAAGTTGAAGTTCAAAGTTACTTTCTTATAATCTCTGGTTGAAATTCTAGCAAGTTTCTCACATGTGAAGACCCATGTTTAACCTGAGCACCTCCTGAAGAGCCTACTGAAAGGCCTGAAACATGTCTGTTGATTATGATTCTGAGTTTTTTTCCTATTGGCTGAGGGACAAAGGCATCTATTATTATTAACTCTCTTTGGCCATATTCGAACTTTGGATGACATGGTAGCATCATCAAATCTCACATAATGACACCATTAAATACGGGGCATGGCTTTGCTACAAAATTATGGCATAGCTGTTGTACATTTTGATTTTATAGATGCCTTTAAGGGACTGTGTGAGGATTTTATAGCACATGTCGTTTTTGGACGGCAGTGCCCAGTGGCTAAGGAATAAAGAGTTTATTCAACAATCTCTCAGCCCAGTCAGAATATTGACCTTTCTCAAATTGTGTTTTATCATGCAATAATACTCAGCCCCAGGAAAGACCCATTTCTACTTTTAACTATGGAGGATCTGCCACTGGTAAATGAAGTACTTTCTGGAGGCATCATGAACTCTTTCCTTTGACTGAAGACAGAATCATCGCCATGTGTTTCACAGTGGTCCTCAAACTTAATCAGGATCCTGTAGAGTTAGTAGCCTCCCTTCAAAGACTCTAGTAGTGGTGTTGCATAATTTAAGGCCCACTAGGGGTGTTTATCAGGATTCAGGAAGGCATGTTCATGAAAAGCCCACTAAGTATTTTTGTTGTTCTGACTTATTCCCGGAGAAACTCACCCCTGTTATAAATCAGAAAGTCCCAAAGAATAGATTTGTATGCTCCTCACTGGGATTTTCCAAATAAGATTCATCCCAGGTAGCTTCTTGTATAAGGATGACTTGACTTTCAAACTTATTTGAGAATGTTTTAAATTTAATTAGGCACTTAATATAGAGTTGCTTCAAGGTCCTCCATTTGAGAATGCTTATAACCACGACTTTTCTTTTCTTTGTGTCATTATTCATTATTATCATTGCTATTCTAATCTTGGATTAGTGACACATGCCAGGCACCTGGCAAAGTACTTAAGATACAAGCAAGACAAACACAGTTCTGGTCCTTAGTCTTACAAAACACCTGGAAAAGATGCAGGTTTTTTATACATGTAACAAGCAGATGCATGTCTGTATTGTATCTTAAAATCTATTAACTAGAGCTCCATATACACATATTGCATATTTTTGTATGTTTATGTGTTCAGAAGCTATTTACATCATATTGTATAGCTCTGGTTTGCCTCTAAGTCTGTGATTTTTCTACATTTTTTTCATGTATATAGGCACATATGTATACTACTAAAGAACCACTGGTCAAGTGAGTTATCACTGTATCTTCTCATTAGCAGGTAGTAATAACAAAAGTTACAGAATATTTTGTGAATTACAGATTCTTTCTACATTTAGCATTTCACAACAAATTATGATGGCAAGTATCTAATTCAGATATTTCAGGGTAACCAAGTGTTGGAGAATACAGGTCACTTGTCCCAGGTCACTCTTGTATGATCATGATTCCAAATGGATTACTTTGGATACAGAGTTTCTGCTTTAATCCAGTAGGAGACACAAATGCCTCATAAGCATCAACTAGTAAACATTTACATATTTTTCAGCTTTATGAGGTATATTACCGCATTAAAGATGCAAAGCACTGGAGTAAATATGGGTGTTGTTGATGTGAGAAAAACACTTTCTTCTACTTTATTTTTCAAGCATGAGTGGAAACTCAGTGCTTCTGTGATATCATTAGTCGATTTCTTTTTCTTGTTCACAACACTCGTTCACAGATGTTAACTGCCATGAATATGTATCAGCAGAAAGTGTGAACCACAACCTATAGTAGTGATTGCAAACTTCACTGATTTACACAGTTGGGCATCTGTTTATGGCTCCCTTCTTTTTTGTCACAGTAGTCCCCCCTATCTGTGGGGATGTGTTCCAAGACCCCGAGTGGATGCCTGCGACCACAGACAGTACTAAACCTTATAGATTCTGGGTTTTTTTGTGTGTTTTTTTCCCTGTACATATATACCTTTTCACTTAAAGGAAGCACTTCCGGCTTCTCTCTGGCATGTCTGAATTACTACCATGACTACTTTGGGGCCATTATGAAGTAAAGTAAGGGTACCTGAACACAAGACAAGCACCGTGATACCTTGACAGCCAATCTGCTAACCAAGATGGCAACTAAGTGATTCACAGGTGGAGAGCGTCTACAGTGTGGAGACACTGAACAAAGCGGGACTCACATCCTAGGCAGGGCAGAGCAGAACAGCAGGACACTGCATTCTGCTGAGAACATCACGCAATTTAAAACTTATGGATAGTTTATTTCTGGAATGTTGCACTTAATTTTCAGGGCACAGTTGAATGCAAGAAACCAAAACAACAGGAAATGAAGCCATAGATAAGGGGTCACTACTGTATTTTCATCCTACAATTGAGGAGTAGGACTCTTACACCTAACAGGAATTCCACACACTCAGTCTACTTCTGTCCAAGACCTTTTAATGGAAAAGGTCTAGCTATGGACTGTTTCTGTCTGCACCTTATTTCTCTGTTCCCAAAACACGGTAGAGTGCCTCTCAGAGTAGTCTGGCAAAGTTGGTCACATTCAACATCAATTTCTACTCTTTGTTATCTTTAGCAGATGTAATTTTTTTAAAAATTTCTTTTGTTAATCCTCATCCAAGGACATTTTTCCCATTGATTTTTAGAGTGGGAGAGAGGGACAGAGGGAGGGAAGAAGGGAGGGATGGAGGGAGGCGGAGAGAGAGAGAGAGAGAGGAAGAAACTTCGATGTGAGAGAGACAAATCTATTGGTTGACTCCCACACGCATCCCAACTGGGGCCTGGGGCTCAAACCTGCAACCCAGATATGTGCCCTTGACTCAAACCTGCAACCCAGATATGTGCCCTTGACTGGGAATCAAACCCACAACCCTTTGGTATACAGGCCAGCAGATATGAATTTTTAAAGGACCCATTATATGCCATTACTCTTTTATATTCTTTATATAAATTATTATATCAGTTCTTACATAAACCCTGTTAGGTAATTATTATTGCTGTTAATAATATCCCCCCTTTTTATAGACAAACAAACTAAGGTTGCTTAGGAGATATTAACCATCTTGATGTGAATCAGTCAGTGAGGCCGAATTAGAATTCAGACCTGTGTCTGTTGAGTTCTAAGACTTGTGGTTTTTTTATTTTTTATTCATGACCTTATGCTGCCTCATTGTTCAGAAAACATATGTTGATAAATCGTCTAGGACTGTATGCTGTTTGGCTCCTTCTGCAGAGAGATTATGGAAGAATGATGACAGAGAAACATAAAGACATTAAAGGGACATATTCATTTATCTCTGATAAAATAATAAAAGAACCAACTATTCTAAATAAATAACTCCGCCAGCCCATAGGAGAAAGCCCTCGAACAGGTCATAAGAATATAAGATCACTCAGGCAGGACAGAGCAATTCAGGTGATAGATGGAAGGCTGATTGTGACTTGTATTAAAGCATTTGCAAAGTACTATACTATGCACAGAAAGCTCAAAAATGATGGATCAAAGCCAAAATTGTTGAAGATTAGATTTCAGGGTCTACAGAAAGGGAGGAGAAGCCAGGTGAATGGAAGAAGAATGTCTGTGTTTATACCCTTAATCACCTGTGATGCTCCTAAAATAAGAGTCCTGGCACTGCCCCATCCCCCAAAAAACACAGGATTCTGCAGCACGGAAACTGCCTGTCTATCCAACACTCCCTGGTGATTTTGTGCACGTAGGCCATGGACCACACTTTGGGAAAATACTGATTTGGTCCAGTCTCTTTATTTTACAAATCAGCATGAGGTTCTAAGGGTAAATGGTTATCCAAAGTTTGCTGTACTCTCTCTCATTAGAGTTTTGGCTGAATCAGTCTCCTACAGGCCCAGTTCTGTCCTCTTTGATACCTGGATTTAATTTTTCCAACTCTAGCCACGGGCCAGCTAACAGCATGTATCCTTGCTCTTTCTCTTCTAGAATCACAACCACAGCTGCCTGCATGATGGACCTCAGGCGGTACCCACTGGATGAACAAAACTGCACCTTGGAAATTGAAAGCTGTAAGTTTTTCTGAGAATCCAGCCAGACTGAACTCTGCTTCGGGTTCTCCAGACCACAGGCCTGCAGAGGTTCTGCTAGCACAGTAATTGATGGAGGGAGGCACTCCTAGTACCTGCCCTCCTGCTGCTGCAATCCTCTTAGTCTTGTCCCCAAACCCCTGGGAGAGGTGTGAAGGGGAGAAGTAATCTAGCAATAAAAGGAAGATGCTAAGAGCCTGGAAGAAAACCAAGGGCTATTCTAGTCATTTAAAGCACAGTGTTTGGTACAGATAGCTACCCCAGGCTTGGGACAATAGGTGAAGGTGGCAGGGGGACACAAGGTATCCGAATAATTTTTGTCTCTCAGAAGCATTATCACTTTTGAATTGCAAAAGAAATGCGGCCTTCTGGAATAGCTGAAACCTCATAGAATGTGGATTAGTGAGATGTTGTTGCTTTTCTCCAGGGACTATTTTCAGTGTCAAAATTTACTTTATATTCTTGCTGAAGGCCATCTGATAAGCAAGATGCGTGTATATATGTGTTTCTTCTCTTTCCTGCGTGGACCTGTTTTGCAGTATGGTTGCATTTCTAGGCCATAGTGTGTGTCCTTGAGGATTCAGTCACCTACCCTGTTCAGTAGAATGTTGATGTCACAGCCCAGCTCCAATTCAGAGGTCACTCAGGGAGGTCGTTTGAAGTGGAATAGGATTTTGAATCTCTTTTCTCGGTCAGTTCTTTGTACAGTGTTCATACCTCATCCCACCAAACTATTGGAAGCTGACAATTTTCTATCTAGCGTTCTAGATAATGAGCAGCCAGCCTGCTGTGCGGGTACTCTCAGCCTTTGTTGGGAGCTCTTGCTGTGTCAGGCAGCGTGACTCTCCATCACTGCTCTGAGCAGAAATCCAGCATTTATGACATATCGTGGGCATTTTTGCCCATTTCAAAAAAAAAATAACTTCCAGGGATATTTCCATTTACACACATTTTTTTTAAGAACCTAATTTCATACTCGTATTTCCAAATCATCATTCTTTTCACATTAGATCTTTGCCATGTAGAACTGCTTAATAAAATTGCTCTATAGGATTTTTATGATTATTTTTAGGTAAATATCTTTGGGATTAACTTTGCATTTTCATAACTAATAACACAGTTTAGAGTGCAGAATATTGTCCTTCAAAGTCCAAAACCTAGTTGTTTCAAATTGTTGATGTTAGGATATTTTGCAAAAAATATGTGGCTTTGTACCACTCATGAATTTTTACAGTAAGAGAATTGTTCATGGTAGAATTTGACTGGATTTTAATAATCATTATTGTACATGTCATCTGAGCCTTCTGCAGCCTTCTTACTTGAAAGAACTAATGCCTTAAAGACACAGGCAACACCCAGTGTTGCATGGAATTAAATTATAATTGTGACCTGAATATTGAAAAATTAATAATTCCTTAGACTTTTGGAAAGTTTAAATTTTATAAAGTGGCTTTTATATATCTCATTGCATTTTACAGTTACCCTGGTAAATGAGGTAGCATAGATTTTTTCCAGCTTTATTGAGATATAATTGACAAACAATATTGTGTGAGTATGTACCATGTGATGATTTGATATATATAAGTTTTGTGAAATGATTACCACAGTAAGGTTAGTTAACACATCTATCACCTTACATGGTTACCTTGTTTTGATGTATGTGTGTGTGTCTGTTGGAAACTTTTAAGATTTACTCTTAGCAACTTTCAGGTATACAGTACAGTATTGTGAACTATAGTCACCATACTGTAGATTAGGTAGCCACATATTATTCATTTTATAACTGAAAGTTTGTGCCCCTTAATCTCCTTCACCAATCTGCCCCACCACCACACTTGCAACCATCAGTTTACACTGTTTCTATCAGGTCAGTTTTCTCTTTTAGATTTCATGTAAGTGATAACAAATGGTATTAGACTTTCTCTGCCTGACTTATTTCACTTAGCATAATACCCTCAAGTTATCCATGTTATCACAAATGGCAGGATTTCCTTTGTTTTATGGCAGAATAATATTCCATTGCATATATCTATAAAAATAAAAGTGTAATATGCTAATTAGACCAGACAGCCGAACGACCTTCTGGATGATGCTGTGGCTGCGAGGGCTGAGCCCCTTGCACCAATTTTGTGCATCAGGCCTGATATATATATATATATATATATATATATATATATATATATATA